AACCACACTTATACTAATAAAGATCACACTTAGAAAAGATGATGACGACAATGATGATGATCTTGATTCCGCTTATTGCTTGTAAACTTAATCATCCATGAGTTGAATCCTTTATTTTCTTCTTCTTCTTCTTCATAATTTCTTGTTCTATCTATTTTCCAACAGCCTCCATCCACCCATATTCTAGCTTTAGCTTAGTCGCCCTTGCAAAGTTCCTACTTGGTTCTTAATGATGATCATAAAAGAATGGGGATGATAATAACAAAGATGAACTTTGAAATCTCCCTATTTCACTACTATTTCTCTCATCATAGTGAGGAAGAGGATGGTCAATAAAAAAATGAAATGTTTCAACTTAGTCCTATCTATTTATAATGCCCCCTCCAAAATACTTTTTTTTCCATCACTTAAAATATTAAGTTACACAGATGTCCCCACTTTATAATAATATTTCTAATTGGTTCTGGCTATTTAATTGTAGCTTAAGCGAATTAATCATCTTCCCTTAATCCTAATAGAATTAATTTTAACTTGAAATATTGTATAATCATTTTGAAAGGACTAAAATATCCCTTTATGGTAAAACCACCATTTAACCCATTTTCTCTTTACTTATTTAATTTATTAGTTGATTAAAAATTTAATTGAAAGTTATGTTTAGATGTTACATTTGTATAGCTACAAGTTTACTCATCTTTTTTGTTTGTTTCTTTTAGCCTTTGTGGTTTGCATGTGTGTGCCTTATATAGGGTGATTTTTTTGGGGTTACTTATAACATGGAAAAGTATTAAGTATTGTGTTTCTAATTCGACTTGCATGTTATTTTGAGTCTTTTCTTTTTTCTTTTTATGGTTTTATGTTTGTACTTGGTCTATGTTTCAAGTATTTGGCTTGTAAGAGTGGTCGCATGAGAAAACAGTGCGAAACAGTGAAAAATTCATTATGCGCTGTCATGACGGGTCCACTGCCAGCATGACGCCCGTCATGACATGGAAACACAAGCCCATCACCACACAAGGACAAAATCTGAAGAAATTATGCGCTAGTTGTAACACTCCAAATCTTAATTTATAAAATTATTTGAATTATTATGATTTAGTTTAATTACTGGGATATAAAATATAGGGGATCATGTTAGAATTTTGGGTCACAAATGTAACATTTAAGGTGTTAGTGCCATTATTTTAATTAGTCAATACTTAAAGGGGACTAATTAATATAATATTAAGTTTGTGGCTAAAAGCATAAATATCATGAAAGGTCTGCCTATTTTGTAGATATCGTAAGTCAATATCTACTTTGATGAGAGGTCAAATTAGAATATTGAAAACTAAGAAATAACTCTAGGGTTATTTAAATGGGTTATGATCCTTGTTTGTAGAGTACAAACAAAATAACGTTTGTGATGTTTCCTCTCTTTATCCCCATCATAGGAGATTCAAGGAACCCTAAAGAACTCTGCAAATCGGAAGATCACATACCCAGAATCTTCAACAAATTCAATGGCAAATTCAATACGCTTTTGCGCCTTCATTCTCATAATTTTATTCGGATATGGGTTTAAGGGATACAAGTTCATACTATATCGACTTATATGAATTATTTTAGAGTTTTGTTCTTGATTTCTATATCGGTAGAAATTATAAGGTTTTGAACAGATCTAACAGATCATTTTGATGAATTTTGTGTTTGTTGTTAAGGATTTTATATTCTTATGATTTCATTGATATAAAATTCGTGTGAATTGATGTTTGAAATTATATACCGTGTATATTTGTGTGTTTTCCACCATTGTTGTAATGATGTATGGTATGTTTTAGAATTGTTAGAGGTCAAAACTTGGGGTTTGGAGTCTGATGAAAGGCTGATAAAAAAGAGCGATCACATAAAATCACGGGCAATTTAGGGTTTTCTGGGATTTGCTACGGACCGTAGCACGTGTTACGAGAGGGTCGTAGCAGCCCTCTGCTTCTGTACCAGAGGCGTGCCCAAGATGGGGTTTTTGGCCTAGGGAGTGCTGCCGACGACTGTAGAAACTCCCTAGATATTGTATTAATTGAGACGTTTCGAGCATAACTTGAGTTTCGTGACTCCAAACAAGATGTCGTTCGAAGCGTTGAAAGCTAACAAGCAGAGCTACCTTATGAACTACTTGATGATGATGTTTTTAAAATGATGTTGTCGTATGAATTTAGAGGGTGACGATGTCATTATGTTTAAGGTGATATTTATTACTATTGTCTTGTTGCATGTATGAGTAATAATCTAATTTAGGAGATTGATTGTATACTTGAGTTGCACTCAATTAATGGTATTGTGAATATGTGAATTATTGGGGCGGGGTAATTCATGTAAGTCTAGAGTGCACCTAAGAGGGAGGGGGTGAATTAGGTACTTTGATCAATTTTCGATTAATTAAAATTTTGTTTTTAACTTTCTAGTTTGGTGATAATTTGGAAAGCGGTAAAGCACGAAAATGCAAATAACACGATGATATATCATGGTTCTCTTCTTAATCCGAGAGTATATCTAGCCCCCTTACGCATTAAGAGATTTCACTAAGATTTAGAATTTTGTACAAGCCTATCCTAGCCACTATACACAAGTTCCTAACTCAATCAATAAGGAAAATCCCGTTATGATCTTTACAAAGTGAAAGAAGAGAACAATCCTCTCTTTTTCACTCTCTTTCTTTCAACAATCCTAGCCAGCAAGATATTCAACCCAATATAAATTTTATAGAAGTTGAAGTTGGATGATATATATCAATTGCTAGAATTGATCTTCTATTTCAAGCAAGCAATTCACAATATGTTATACAAGTGATCAGGATTAATGTTGAAACATTAAATGATGCAATGCAGATTTATGCAGTAAGTTTCACACAAAGTTTGTATCACAAGACACTAGTTGAAAGTTTGAGAGATTAATGAGTTTGAATTTCAATGAAAGAGGTAAGTTTTTAAAATCTGATATGTAGGGTATTTATACTACCACAATACCTTTCTGAAAGTGCATGTATTCATGAAAAGATGCCATGTTTGAGGGATGAAAATATTAGTTCGTTAAAAATAGATTTTGAGTGAAAAATGTCAATTTCTTCAGTGGTAACCGGTTAACACATATGCGTAACTGGTTACACCAGAAACGGTATAACCAAAAATTGAAATTTTATATGTATAACCAATTACTTGGAATGGTGTAGTCAGTTACTCCTGACATTGTCAAACTAATTACACAAAAATCCGTTCATGTAACCGGTTACCAGAAATGGTGTAACTGGTTACACCTAACTTGGTTTTGAAAAATATCTCAAAAATAAGTTTCAATTAAGTGTCATAAGATGTTAAAATGAATGTATGCATTATGCGAAATGATCAACATGTTATTCTTGAGCACTTAAGTATTAACATTAAGGATTTGCAACTTGTACCTTAAAAGTATGTGATCAACCATTAAGTCTCAAAGTTAGTCTTCATAAACTTGAATGATATTAAACACATCATGATTTAGCTTTGACTATGAGGTTTTTTCTTTTCTTTGGCTATAAGAATTGTTTTTTATATTGTCTCCATCAAAATCAATAGTTGGAGAAATTTGACTTCACATTCTCCCTCTTTTTGATAATGACAAAGCATTGAAACTTCAATAAGTTTTGCTCCCCTAAGAAAGTTAACCCCTCTTGATCAATGCTCCATCTTGATATTTGAATGAGAGTTTTTGATAATTTGTTACTTCCTGCAAATGTTAGAGAAAAGGAAACATATATACACAAACATCTTCTCCCCCTTGTCATTAGCAAAAAGATGAAAAAATACTTGACAACTTTAAACATACATGAAGCAAAAAAAACAGAATGCTTGGACAAGAAAACATGACATAATGCTTTGACATAACACAAACATAACTAAACATGCTAAAACATAATGGTAATACGATAATAATTCTTATATAAATAAGCATGACAGAACCAACACCATCATAATACACTACATTAGGAAACGAAACGGAAACATCATAACATCAAAACAGTTCTAAGACATAATGAAAAGATAAATAAAATACATCATAATAACAAATAGCACAAGTAATGATCTTTAGTCACTTCTTCATCCATCTCTTTATTTTCACTTTCCTCATCTTCTTCTTAGTTTTAGTTTTTAAGATAGACTATTTCAAGTCGGAGTTCACGAAAGCCGGATGCCATAAGAGTTTTCAAAGAACACATGACTTCATTTGTGTAGCCTTCTTTAGACTTGGGTGGAGCCGATGAGGAAGAAGGAGCCTCATCTCAATGTTTGAAAATTTCATCCTTATCCTTGTAAATCCTCATATTTTTTTCAGCTGGCCCAACATGAATTTCACACTCTTTTGAACTCATCTTTATATTATTACAATAGGTTGATAATTGATTTACGCGGGTTCGATAGTTTTTATATTACTATGATATTTACGTGTATTTGAGGAGCTTATCAGCTACATATGAATTGGAATTTTAGATGCTGCTACAGATAAGTTGTTGTTATTTAATCAATCCTAGGTTATTTAGTCAGTTATGAATAAAATCACATACTAGGCATCGTTTTGGTTGTGTTCTTGGTGGGTAGGGGAAGTCTTTTTGTTCTTTATTTTATTGTTCATTCATCTTTCAACTAGGCATCGTTTTGCTTGGTTTCACTTACTTTTTCATCATCATTGTGCAGTGAATTTGTATGCTTTTTTAGTTTCATATTATGTAGCAATAAGTTGTGTCACTATCCTTCCTCTTAAAATTAATATAGTCGCGCCAAACATTTTTCTCCATTTCGAGATAAGGAAAATACAAAACTTACATTATTCATCATTCATCTCATGTCACAAATTTATAAAGTTACCTTCCTCAAAAAAAAAATAACTTAAACAACAAGAAACAACACAGCCAAACAAATCCAACAAGTAGAAGAAAACACACTAATCCTGAATCCTCACTTTTTCATGGATATTATATTACCATGCTCTCTTTAACCACTACCTCCAAGAACACCCTTAAGCTTCTTCACCACAACAGCATCAAGAAAAGTGGTTTGAGTAATCAGCTCAGTCGGAAAATCACTTTTAAACAAAGCGAAATCCAATATCTGTAAACCAGGATTAGCACTACTAAAGCTAACAAAAGCAAGTGCATTAGAACCACCACTATTAATTTGGAAATGCAACAACCCTTGTGGGAAAACCATAACATCACCTTTGTCAAGTGTGTCAAGGTAAACAACATTGTCGGAGGAAACAAAACCAGCACAGATTGTTCCTTGAACTACAACCAATATCTCCGAAGCACCGGGGTGAGTGTGAAGTGGAATGACTCCACCTCCAGCTAAATCTAATCGCGCAATGGAAATTCCAAGTCCATTTACACCGGGAAATTGCGCGTCGAATGCAGGTGTAACAGCGGCTTTGATAATGTTTGTGGTGTTTCCACTTTTAGCTAGGCCGTGGAAGACGAAGTCATCAGCGGTTACCTTTTTGGGTGTTTTGCAAGAATATCCAGCCGGGCCGTTTGGTGCATTGTAATCTGCTACACAGAAATCTACTACTGATGCATGAGAGAGGGAAAGAAGAGAGAAAATGAAGAAGGAGATAGTTAGAATCATCTTCATTTTGTTGATAGGGTTGTTTGTGTTGTGTGTGTTTTTGTGGTGAATTTAGTTATGTTATATAGAGAGGGAGGAGTGGATATCTTTTATTGCTATTGAATTGCTTCAACATGGTATGTTGAAAGGATAGATATTTTGAGGTAGGATTGGTAGTTCACGTGAATGTTTAACTTTTTTTCTTTGGATAACAACAACAAGCATCTTTTTGTTTGAATTCCTTCTGTGCATAGATGAAGTTTGCAATTACAGCACATGCTTAAGTATTAAGTATGTAATTACATAGTGTCATTCAATCCTTAATTCCACATTACTTGGAAGTTTTGTTTGTGTACATTCAATAAAAGTTTTATAAGAATTTGAGGGAAAAAGTGTCAAAGAAATTATAGGTGGTGGTCCACAACACAATCACATGGTATGAGGGAGAAGAAGACGTTTTGTGACAGCTAGAATAGAATGACCCCTTTGTGAAATTCTTAGAGAAATACCATATATATGGCCATACATAAGTTTGTGGTTATCTCAAATTCCCTATCTTATAGGGCACCTCATTTTTACTCCATCAGGTAAAACCATATTGGACTCAAAATCCAAATGGAACTCTATGGTGGTCAAATATGTTTATTACAGTAACTGAAAAGTTGACTGTAGGTTTTGATTGCTTAATTTTGTAGTGAATCGATAAACATTTAATGAGTCTAATTCTTATTTTCGGAATAAAAAATTTTCACATTAAAAATTTGGTATTCTTTGTTATTTAATTTTTCCTGTTATTATTATTTTGTTGTCGAATTGGTTTCATCGGTGTCTATTTAAATTACACGGATTTGAGAAAGTATTTTGATTATTTGGTTATTTTTCAACAAAGTGGTATCGAAAGCTCTTGCTTGTTTTGTACATTTTAAATGAAAAAAAAAAATCAAAAGTTCAATATGATTAAACTCAACTATATTTATTATATATTTCGGAAGACTCTCATGAAAGATATGTTATACAACAACGATTTGTATGATCCTGAATGGAAGAAGATGAATCAGAAGACAGTTGTTATAATCAAAGAATGGTTGAACTTGAGTGTATATCCACATGTTGAAGCTGAAACTGATGCACATAAAATATGGAATAAATTAAAAGAGTTGTATGAGCGCAAGAATGTGCAAAGTATAACATGTTTGACCAGGAAGCTGATTAATATGAAATACAAGGATGGTGAATCAATGGAAAACCATATGAGTGTGTTTTAGAATACTGTGAATCAATTGGCAGCTACTGATATTAAGTTGGATGATGAGTTACAAGCCTTATTGATGCTTAGTTTCTTTTTTCATAACTGGGAAGTTCTTCCTGTGACACTTACTAATTCAGCTCCGAATGGAAAATTGACAATGTCAACGATTAAAGATTGCATGCTTAATGAAGAAGTTAGAAAAAAATATTGTATTTTAATTTTTACTCCTAATCAGTCTGAAACTCTAATTACCTAGTTAAGGGGAGACGTAAAACCATAATTTTTCATAAGCGTGATTAATCTAAGAGCCGTGGCAAGTCAAGAACAAGAAAAAAAATTATATGCTACAATTGTGGCAAGGCGGAACACATAAAAATGAATTGTAGGTTTCTCAAAAAAGAATATTCAAGGGAAAGAGACGAAGGTTATGAGAAGAAAAAACATAAAGGCACGACAGCAGTTGCACGTGACAATGATGTCTACGTTGTTTATGATGATAATTTCATAAACCTTAAATGTCAAGATTCAGCTTGGATTATTGATTCATGTGCCTCGTACCAAGTTACTCCTAGATGCGATTTCTTCTCATCTTATACTATTGGTGATTTTGGAACAATAAAAATGAGAAATGAGAGAGTTTATAAAATTGTTGGTATGGGAGATGTTTAGGTTAAAACTTGTGTTGGATGCAAATTTAAATTGAAGAATGTGAGAAATGTTCTAGATATTCGTATCAACTTGATTTCGGTCAAAGCCTTGAATATTAAAGTTTATTACACTTACTTTGATATTGGTAGCATGTGTAAGATCACAAAAGGATCACTAGTGATAACAAAAGAGCAAAGTCCCATAACTCTTTATACAATTCATATAAAACTATGTGTCATACCCCAATTTTTTTCAGTATTTTAAAACTTTCATGCATCCGACTTTACTTTACATGGAAATATCTGCATATATAGCATACTATGCATTTCATCATGCATAATACCTAAAATATCGACCAAAATAAATTTTCGGATCTATAGACAGACTGGTTAAATCGTTTCTCAAATGAACGTAAAATTAGTGAGAGAAAATGTTTTAAAATCAAGCTTGCAGATGTCAATTTTATTAATCTACGATTCGTGTAGTTTAACCTGACGTGCTCGCTTTATTTTTTTGACTGCTTTTTCAGTCGTTTTTTGATCAGTCTGAGCCTTTTCAACCAGACGTTTTTTACTTTAAAATTTGATCAAAACCTGTCTTTTTTTCAGAAATTTATTTCGTACTAATCAATTAAGTACATTTATTTTAATTTTTTGAGCATTTTTACACGCATTTTTATTCATTTTGAGTCCTTTTATTTTTATTCTTTTGTCATATTACTTAGAAAAAATAAATAGAATCATCCATGTATTCATTTTGATTTTATTGTGTTTATTTTAAAATGTGTGAATTTTATTTTTTAATTGATTTAAATTGTTTTTAATTTCATAAACATCTAGAAGGGGCTTTCTGGCCATTTTAATTCAACTGACAATTTGTGTTTCTTTGTTTTAATCTTGACATCAAATTCAAATGATCTAAGGTTCAAATGGCTATCCATGTCCACCTCTCTTGACCAATCAAAATAACAAAAAGAAAATAAGAAAAAAAATCCAAAGATATCCCACAAGCCAAAAGGCTCCACTTGACACCACTAGCAAAACTCTCTTTCTCAAAAACGTGTGGGTGGAAAGAGGGAAGAAAAAGAAATTGTTTTTTTCTATAGCACACGGCTAAACACGGTGCAACCGGGAGGATCTCACACAAATCTCAATTGAAATGCTGAGAAAAGATTTATCCCTCGCGCCACTCTCTTCCACAGCTGAGATTCTCTCACAGAACCTCATTTCTTCTTCCTAATTTCCACCTTCTCGCCTATTCTTTTTCCGCCGTGCATCCCGGCTGGCTCTCCCTCAACTTTTTCAAGCCCAAACCTCCACAACACCAGTTGTTCCCCTTCTACTCTTCAACCATCTCTTCCTACCAAAAACCAACATCAAAACTTCTCCAAACCGCCATATAAAACATTAATAAAAACATTTTTGCGACCCCTTTTCTTTTCCTTTTACACTTTTGATCATTCAAAGAAAAAAATTAACGACAACTAACATTTCAATCGCAAATCTAACAAAAAGTTTTACGTTGAGTATAACGGACGTGAGGGGTGCTAATACCTTCCCTTTCTGTAATCGACTCCCGAACCCGAATATGGGTGAGATGACCATCTTTTACTTTTCCTCTTTTTGAATAAATAAAGTTCGGTGGTGACTCTGTTCGATTTCAATTTTCCTTGAGCGTGCGAACACTTTGCGAAGGATCATATTTTTTGAGACGTGACACTATGCAAAAAGGAAGTGAATGTAGTTAAAGATGCATCTAGAGATTTATGGCATACACGTTGTGGTCACTTGAGTGAGAAAACTCTCAATATTCTTGCAAATACATTTTTTCTTCATGTGAAAGGTACTCCTGTAAAAACATGCACCCATTGTTTTTCTGGTAAGCAACATAGATTTTCCTTTAATAGTAACGGTCCTCAAATGAGGTCAAATAATCTAGATATAATTCACACTGATGTTTGCATGATGGATGGTAAATTGTTAGGCGGTGCACTATATTTTGTTACTTTTATGGACGACCACTCTAGAAAAGTGTGGGATTTTGTTTTGAAATCTAAAGACCAGGTACTCGGTGTTTTCAAGCACTTTCATGTAAATGTTGAAAGAGAGAAAGGAATGAAGCTAAAATGTGTCAGAGATGATAATGGTGGTGGATATAGAGGTCCACTTGAAAAGTATTGTAAAGAAAATGAAATCAAGCCTGAGAAGATTCTTCATAAGACACCTCAATATAATGGAGCTGTAGAGAGAATGAATCATATGGTTAATGATAGAATCAGGTGTATGCTCTCTCTTGCAAAGTTATCAAATGCCTTTTGGGGATGATGAATTAACAACTCCAGTGGATTTGATCAATCTTTTTCCATCTGTTCCACTTAATGGTGATGTTCCAAATAGAGTATGGATGGGAAAAGATGTCTCCTATGGTTACTTGAGAGTGTTTGGTTGCAGGGCTTTTGTTCACATTGCAAGAGCTGAGAGATCCAAGCATGATAAAAGATATAAACAATATGTCTTTGTAGGTTATGGTCATAATGAGTTTGTTTATAGATTTTAGGATTCAGTTGACAAGAAAATCATCAGAATTTGTGATGTGATATTTCTTGAAGACCAAACTATTGCAGATTTTGATAAAATAGAGAAGCCAAAATCTTAGTAAAAGTTACACTAATATTATGCATCAACCTCCTAGTGGAAATTTTGTTGATAGGGGGGAATATATAGGTAGATGAAAATGTAACCATTAACCAATGAGCAAGTTAAAGAGGTCCCACATGTGCCACCAGTTGAACCGGAGTTAAGAAGATATACTAAAGAGCATCAAGAATTTCTCAAAGATATCCTCCACATAAATATGTGACGATCACTGCGAGTGGACAGACAGAATACTACCAAAAGGACATTTGAAGTGTTGATAAAGAAAAGTGGTTGAAGACCATGCAAGAAGAGGTGAATTCCTTGCATGAGAATCACACATTTGAGTTGCTAAAATTTCCTAAGGGTAAAACAACACTAAAGAATAAAGAGATATACAAGATAAAGTATGAAGAGAATAAATCGCAACCAAGATAAAAGGAAAGGTTTGTTGTGAAAGGTTTTAATAATATAAAAGGTATTTAGTTTGAATAATT